AGAGAGAGAGAGAGAGAGAGAGAGAGAGAGAGAGAGAGAGAGAGAGAGAGAGAGAGAGTCTATACTGTCATTTTAGGGATGCACAGTCTCTGTGTGTGAGAAAGGACAGGAGAAGTAGGAAAGGTAAACTCGTTGATTTCTTTGGTGGGAAATAGACTTCCAAGCCTGTATGAGGAGCCTGCATCCCATATATAAATAGAGATTTAATATAGCTTAGTCTGGATAATGGAATATAGCAAGAGATTTTTGATTAGGTTGAACCTGATTTCTTGAGAAATCATTTGCAAAATGCTGTCATTAGTACCAAAACATGAAGAAGAAACAGAAAAGGACTTCTGAGCTCAGCCACTTGCAACCTTGGGCAAGGTTGATTCAAAACATACTGACTGTATTGATTTCCTACTTGATCTCTCAAATCTTTTTAGGTCAGACCCTAAAACTACTGAACTTAAAGGAAACCAAAATTCCTGATGTTACTATGTCAAAATCAAATGTGTTATTTCAGCTTTTGAAAGTATATTGGAGGGGGAGAGAGAGCAGTCTTTTTTTCAGCAACAGATTTATGTCTGGAGCATTCAAGAATCAAAAAGGTGAGGCTCAGCTCTTCTGTCTAACTGATGAACATGATCTGTGTACATGAACTAACTGATGTGCATAGAACTTGTATACACAAGCAGACTAGTACTGAGTCGGGACAGTAGCTTCTGTTCTGTAAATCACACAGATAGTAAACTAATAAGGGCTTTCCTTCAGCATCCTTATGTGAAGCATGGGAATGTCCCCCATATGTTGCAATGCATGGTGTATGAATGCCAGCACCTTCTTATAATGGCCTCAGTTCCTTGTAAGATTTAAGGAAATACATTTACTAAGAGTGGAAATAAAAGGAAAAGAAAACTCATACATCATCTAAGAAACAAAACTCCTGGATTTCTTCATCTGAGCAAGTTGTTTTCTGTTTAATTGGTCATTTGCTTGAAGGTAACTTTGGGAAAAAGCTGCAATTTTTGTTTCCAGAGAAGACAAAAATTCACAATTCTTATGTTGGTCTCATCATACTTTTTCTGAAATTTGAGCTCTTTCTAGTTCAAAAAGCAGGCTACATAGCTGGCTATGCATAAGAATTGTTATGATTTTATATTTTTTCAGACTAGTTCTGGATACACATTACAGAGATCTTTCCTATATTTATATGATCAAGTACATTTTGGCTTCCAAGGACCCTTCTGAAACACACACTCAGAAATCAAATCTAACATCTATTTTTGGCATTGTCACAGGAGCAATTTCTAGTACTTTGCAAAAAAGGAAAAACTTCAGCATACTGATGGAGAGAGGAGAGGTTGCACTATATCTTTTTTCTTTGTGTGAAATTTAGAGGGGCAATAATGTGAGGAGCAACTCCATAAATACATTAAGATCCTCAGAAGAGACATAACAAACAAACAAAATATTTCCTAAAAAATGAATAATGTAACATGAAATACTTATTCTGGACCTAAATTCATAGTGGTGCAGTATCACAGAAAAGAAGTAGCTCTTCTCATATGAAAGAAATACAGTCTACAGTGAGGCTTTTTTTTTTACATAACACAAAGTAGTTTCTTTATGGTGTTATATCACAAGGGATATTTTCCACAGGAAAGTATATGCTACTTCTATCCCATGTAAAAAGTTTACTTTGATTGGACAGGAGTAATTATCAGCAATAATTTACTGTAAGGCAGTAATTGAAATGTAAAAACTCTATTCTCTATTTCCAGATTTGTCCTAAGTCGTGCAGGCAGCTTCTGTTAGCATTATTATCAGATAGCAGGGATTTTGTACAGAGCAAGAAATCAGGACAAAAAAAGCATGCCTCACTGCCAGCATCCTTCCAGAAGTTATCTTCTGTAATCTGTAACTGAAAAAATTATGTTTTTTTTGAACAAGTAAATGCTGTGTGCAGCACTGTTCTGCAATGAACCACTTGTGTAGAAGAGGTAAAGGTAATGACATCTAACTCCAAAAAGTTTATTGGATTACATCAGGAAATCTCCACTATTCTGCCTGTTCTGTAAACACAGTGTGTGTTTACACAGTTCCCTTCTCATTGCAGTACCTTAGTACTCACCACAGAGAATTAGATTTTAGGCACTTTCCCATGGTTCAGCTGTACACTACAGAATATCCAGCAAACCTGGACTATCACAACTCTTCATTCCTCTTAGTCTATACGTTACCAGCTTCCAGGCTTGATAGCACATTACTGAAAGTGCTCCCTTTAATTTCTCTGTGTTGCCTTTATCTTTACTAGAGACAATGATAATGAAAGTGATCCAGAACCTAAATTTGGATAATGACTCTCTGCTGTGGTGTAATACCTTCTTCTTTGGCACATTACTGTCATTTACAAAGTGTATGGTGACAGAGACTCAGTTACTTAACAGTACAGATTTTCTTTAGTAAAAGTCAGTAAAATTGCATACTAAAGTACATTACTATGACTATATACAACAACAAAAAGCTTAAAACTCTGCAACATCTTGATCTGCTTCATTACTCTCTGTAATTTAATCAAAGACAGATGACAATGGAGAGCTCTTAGTGCTCTACCTTTGTTGTGCTGCTCCCTCAACTGAACAGTGTAACCAGTTCCATAAAGAATCTGCAGTGAGCAAGCTTTTTCCTATTTGTTCAAATTTGGAGGAATGGATTTCTTCCTCCTGTTTATTTGCCTTCATTTCTTCTTTAAACCAATTTTTAATTATTATTTCTGTTGTACAATTCAAACAGTACAGCCAAGGCTTCAGCTTTAAATACAATGTTCTTGCTATGAACTCTCAAACACACAAAGGAAATCTTGCCTGAATTTTTACAGTATAATTATTTACTTATTAGCATCAAAACTCACATTGGTTCTTCCTCAGTAATGCAACAAGAGACTATAAAAGTAATACAGCATCAGAAATAAATGATCACATTGCGTAAAGATATGCACCCTGTATTTTCCAAACTTTTGAAATAACTGACCTTTTATTCCATCCTAGCCTGTAGAAAAAACAACATGATAAATTGAAAAGGCAGTAGGTGTTGAGCTATACAATAACAGCATATGAACATGTTAGTTAAGTAATTGAATTAATAATGATAAGGGTTGTCTCTTAAACTGAAAGATCTTGTTTCCTTCATTTCAAGGACTGACATTAAATAAATCAGTAAATATAAGTGACTATGGTAATTTTTGTAATTACAAAATAAAGTTTATGTACATTTTATTTAGTCCTCATCCCATCAATAACTGTATCCTTACCGTGCAGGGGGTTTGCATCCAAGGTTCCCCATCTATCTGCATAGGCAGAGACTTGCTGGTCCTAAAGTGATATATTTCATAAAATAAGAAAATGCAACTGGACAAAATTGAGATATGTACTTTTAAGGAGATATATGTGATGGCACACACGTATGTACCAGATTTACCCAAGCTTCTAGGTAATCTCCAACATGCTTACAAAAGTAAACCAGTTGCTTAGTAGGCAGACACCTTGCACACACATCTTGCTAGACTCTACTGTTTCATGAGAGAATAGTCTTCAATTTGTGAAATGAAGAGAGAATTATGCAGCAACTTCAAGAAAAAACTATTTACAGGAAAATTAAAAACACGGAAATCTGTTGCTATTATTTTTTAAATTTAGACTGAATACTGTAAAGAAAAGAACTAAATCTTAACTCTAATATTGCTTTACTAAAATCATGAAAGATATTTTTATGCTTGTGCCTAACAGCAGGTTAGACAGATCAGTAGCCACATACAGTTCTATCGTGTTCAGTAGATTTAATTTACCATGTTATAAATTGTTAGTAAAGGGTCAATGATTTTAATATTAATGTTCAGATAGTATTCCATGCCTACTTTTGGGTTCCATACTTAGAAATGCATAGATAAATGATAAAAAGAAAATAAAATTTAAAAATGATGATCTTTTAAATGACCTTTTCCAACTCTATATTTCTGTGTTATAGTCAGACCGTGTTAAAGTCTGGACAACTCAATATAACACGGAAGAATCAATTCTAACAGTGGAAAAATGAGTCAGTTGATCACTCGTGATCAGTGGAAATTCTATGTCAGACATTATTTTAAAATGACCAGCAGGTTGTAGTGTTAACCACAGTCATCAACAGCCAGAAGAAAAAGAAGGAAAGAATATTCAATGAAGTCTCACATAAGTTTGAAATAATTCTAGCTCTTTTGCAGTTCTTGTTGATTTGGGATTATAAATATTGTATCATGGTATCCAGGGAAGATGGGAATGAATGACTCTGCATTCTCATTTCTCTTTCTCACCCTCATGAGAGAGTAATTTGAAGCCAGGATCACCTGGTCCTTGAGAATAGTCTCAAAAATAGGCCACAAGCTTCAGGAATTCCTGAACTATCTTTAAGTTTTGACTTCTACTCTTTCTGTTAATTATCATACTTTATATCCAATTTCAGTCTTGATCCTTTCATTCTATAACTTTTGACTTAACTATTAAAATTTTGCAAAATTCTTCCTGAAAAACTCTGTACTGATGAAGTTGAATGCCCTTCTCTTTTCCAGCCCTTATTTAATCCAAAAGTTAGAATAATTATTTTTTCCTTAAGAGTGCATCCAAACTTCCTCTGTTGTAAACATACTGGTCACTGTTAGCATAGTAAGTGATAAAATGTAGCTAAATTAATCTGCTCCACTGCTCACAGTTTACACATATCAATGTATTTATTAGTAGTAATTTACAGCGTTCAATAAATAACAAATAAATTTAAAAGAGAGCACTTTGACTTCCGTGGATCAAACAAGTGCTTTACAAATACTAATTGCATACTACTATTCTCTGGTGAGAAATGCATTACAAATGGGTTAAAATGTGTCAAAGTAACGTTAAATGCCTTTTTGCTCTAATCTGCACAGAGTGCAGTCTGTAAAATAAACCAGGATGTTCATACATTACTCCTTCTCCTCCACTTGTTTAACAATATTTCTTCATAGGTTGAAATGACAGTTAAATACAACATGCAAAAACTGGATGTAAACACCTTCCTCCCTTCCTTTTCCTCTTTCCCTCTTTTTCTTTCTCTCTTTGCTTTCTTTCTTTCTTGCTTTCTCTCTTTCTTTCATACAGTTAAAGCAAGAAAGATGTATGGGCACAGAAAAATGAATAGAATACATTTGATATATAAATTGATACTCTCACAAGCATTAAGTTCAGTAATTATGACTATTACACTGTTAAATAAACTGTAGTGGTGAAATATAAATATCAATTGATAATATATAAAACCTTATTGTTCAATACAACAGTGTAGGGCAAATTAGATCTGTCAATACCTGATGACAACAGATGAGCACTGGGCAAGCCTTCTTCCAGCACTTTTCAGACCTGTATATATTTGACCCATCTCCATGGCTCCTTCCAGACCAACTACTTCCATAAGCTGGTCACTAAGATCTGAAAAAGTTGAAAAAATTGCATTTGGTCTAGACATGATTTTGACAGTTTTCATCCTAACTAGCAAGCTGGTCAGAAGACCAGCTATATATGATAATAGATAAAAAAAATGATATGAACTGCCTTTTCTAATCACTAAGAAGTGATTTCAGTTTTAAGTTTTGGAGCATCGGGGCCTGTTGGTACACTATTCTAAAATACCTTGACCAGAATGATTCTAAAACACAATAATACACTCCATGGCTTGTTTAAATTCATACACAGAAAGAAAAAATCTCTCAGCAAATGAGAAAACAGGAAATGCTCCTTTTCATAGAATGAAATGTTTGCAGCTTAGAATTTTTTATGCTTATATTTACAGATTTATTGTTTCAATAGATATTTAAAATCTGACAAAGGAAAAATCAGTGCCCCATACACTGCTAGTATCTTTTTCCAGACAATGCATACAACTGTAACTTAGACCTTGTGTGCATGCATTATTATTGTTTTTAATTATGAGACGATATATATATATATATATTTTTAATAGGATTTTTGCTCCAATTAGCACATAGATTCAATGCAAAAAGGGCAGGAAAAACTCCTATCAGCAATTATTTTGATGCCCATACTGCATTTTGATTACATAGCATTTTGACATTACGTTTCCAATAACATGTAAATAACATGTAAATATTGTACTTGTCAAAATAAATTTTAGTTTGTTTGACTTCAAGGAGTGAGGACAAATTTTGTCTAGAATTTTGGATACAAACAGAAATACAATCAGTATCTTAAACAGTATTATAGCAATCTGGTTTGAAAAGCAAAAAAGTAAGGTAATGAAATATTATCCAGAAATAAATAAGGTGTTTTGTATGAAATACATAATATGCTCTGGTTTCAATACATGCTGCCAAGACCAGATGGACAAGCAAAAAAATTTTTTTAGCTTTATATCATGTATGTTTTATAGATTAGCTGTTAATATCCCCGTTTCCAAAAGATAGGCTATTTGGTGAAGCAGAGCCATGAGCTAAAATGCTAGTCTATCATCACACTAAAGAAAACAAAGATAGGAGAGCACATTATTCTTTGTACATTTTAAATATGTCACATTTTAATGAAGGTAGAATTTCATGCTAATTATCATATCTGTAATTCTAGTCCAAAGTTTCAAATTGAGTCTTTTCTGTTCACTTCTTTGGGCTTTGAAAGAAGATAATTAACCAGAAGAAATATTGTGATAGGGGAAAAAATATATATATTAAAATCAAATAGGATTTATGGTCTGGGTTATTCTGCTTCCAATCAGAAAATCAAATGCTATCTAGTGCTTTCATTTTCTTAATATTCTTTGCCATTTTGATTTTCCCATCACAGTGAAATGTACCACATGATATTAATGGAGCAAAAATAAACTGTATAATTTACAATTAAAGAACAAAACAAGATGGCAAAATATTTTAATACAATAGGATTAATTTTAACAATTAATTATTATAGTTAGTATCTCTATAACACATGTAAATCCAATTCTGCCTGTTGAGTTTTCTGTTGAATTGTTTAAAGGACTGTATTCTCTTTAAATATTTTCCTTGAGTTACTCATACACTTTTAACTTAAATTTAAACAAATTCTGCTTTTCTTGATAATCATAGATTTAAATGGGAAAGTCTCACTAATTTTCAAGAGCACACAAAACTTTATAGAGGCACTAAATCATTAAAATGATTCCAGCCAAAGAAAACATCAAATTCTTTTTCATTTGGTTATTAGAAAATGGTTATTTTTTAAATGGGAGAATAATTAAGAACAGATTTTTATTACTGACAGCTCAGGCAACATATGCAAGATTCAGAATAGTGACATTTGCAGTGATATAAATTTGATGCATCATTTTTCAATAGCTGTAAGACTAGTGCCAGTAACAGCAGGTAACTAAGGGCCAAACTCTGCCCTTTGATCCATATCACACATCTCCAAAAATGTAGTGTATTAAACATTGGAAGATGGAACTAATTAATACTCCTATCTATCAAAAAAAGTGAAGTATTTTCTAAAAGTTAGCATTTACCATATTACATTCTCAAAGCAGAGTTATTTTAAGCAAAATATGAGTATTTTTAGAATCAGACTTAAATTAGACATAACCTCCCTTCAGAAGCAGTAAATATTAAATGCAAAATGTAATTTGGAAATTTGGAAAACTTAACTTAGGGCTCATTAGTATTAGCACTGTTGCTAACATATTCAACCTGATGGTTTTGTGTGCAACATTCATTTCAACAAATCCTTGAGCTAAATTACTTCGATAAGAACTTAGGGTGAAAAAAAGCTGTGCAGATATTCTAGTCCAGTTCCTCAAAAGTGTTACATAAGCTTGGGTACACTGCTTGAATATAAAGGACCAAGACATCAATGAATGAATTGCATTTGTCCTTAAGAGGTCCTCACCAACAACTCTGAAAGAAATTAAACTCTCTTAAACATGGTCAGGACTTCTTTTAAATTAAAAGATGGGAAAGGCAAAGTCATTCTTCATTCTGGTATGAAGCTGTCATTGATTTCTCAGAAGAACCCGTGCTGGGCTATGTACTGCTCAACATATTCCCCTAAATAGAGTCTGGGAACAGAACCAGATAGCAAGATACCGAGGATTCAGCAAAGTAAAAATAATGGCCAGTTATAAAAACTGTTTAAGAATTTCACACTACAGAGTAACAAGCAACAAGAAGGCAGAAAATTGAATACATGCAATCTAATGCCCATTAAAGGAAACAGAGCTAACTGACAGAGCTAATGACATGTGTAACCTGTTATATTCATGCATATTTAGAAACGTGTGTCCATGTGTATATGTCTATATGTATATGTTATATGGGTTACCACTGTCCTGCAGAAATTAAGATTATGTAGTTACTGTGGCTACTTCTATGACAATACCTGCTTGATGCTCAAAACTGATTTTAAAAAAAATCCTATTAAATATTATGACTGGTACTTCCATGTACTACAGAGTCTGTAGCTACAGTTGATCAACAATGCATAGAATGACATGAAAGAGATGAAAGAGAAAAAGGCAACCAGACACAGTAAGAAATATCTTCTGTATGAAAAGAATTTAGACTAGGATCCTTCAGGAAGGAAGATGAATGGAGGAAAGATGATATAGGTAGAGAAAATCTTAGGTAGCATGAACTAGGTAAACACAGTACTGTTATTTAGCATTTCTCTAAAATCAAAAACCAAGGAATGTCATATCTCTTCTGCAACAAACAGGAAAGCCTTTTTACACGATATTCTGTTAAATAATAATACCATACTAGTCTTAAAAAATTCCTAATTCACAAATTGATATAGATCTCGCAGGGTACCTTAAAAGAAATATCAGTTTAAGTTTGCCCTCTTATGCTTTATTTCTAATCATGCAACACAAGCTGGTGCTAGAGGTCAGATACTGAGAAATGCAAACTTGTAAGTTGACCTAGTGGCACTGTTCTTGTTGCCTTCTTATACTTTTATTCAATTACAGTTCAGAATAATGAATGGACTTGTTCACTAAACATCTTGGTGGTCCTGTGTGGAATCAGAAGTTGGACTCAGTGACCTTTACAGGTCCCTTCCAACTTGGGATATTCTATGATTCTCTGACTTAGAACAGGTTATAATGAGGATTTTCCTATGACACTTGTGAAAACTGTGCCTGTGACCTAATTCAGAAAGTTGTTTCAGTTTGATCCTCAAATTGTATTCTAAAATTACACGCTACCTGTGTCTATCAAGTATAGATTATAAACTATTTCTTTTTAGGCAAATTGTATTTTTAGGCAGGTTGTATTTCTTCTGTCTTCTACAAATTTTATTCTAAAGATAATTTATTCCATTTATGACTGCATTGATCAAATTTTCTGCATGCTACAATGCACGTTTCAGCTATTGCAACAACAAACCAAGTGACTTCACGTGTCTCTTCATATTAGCCCCTGCAGCACACAAAGGCAACTGTCCCAAAGCAGCACTGTTGGCAGCAGCTGGTCACTGACATGCAGGGGAGCATCTGACCTCTTACACTCATCCCTGATGGGAAGGATGAAGTCTCTAGGTAGATGACTGTCCTTTTCCTCCCATCAGGCAGCAGGAGTAATAGAAGTCCAAACAGAAACTTACAGAAATGGCAGACAAAACACTATCCGTGAATACAAGTCCTTTACAGTACTGCCTAGGGCATGAAGAAACACACTTGGAGACTTTAAAGTTTCCTAGCAAGGCATTTACATTTTCCATTAGCTTGGCATTAGTTGAACACTTCAATATTCAAAGTGAATACACAATAGGAGAACACGTTTCAAATGAAAGAAAAGTGGGGTAGTGAGTAGAAGCAGCATGATTAGAAATCCTGATTTACATAGAGAACTTTGCCTCTGTAATGGAACTGATTTTGATATCCCATTTATCTCTGCAATATATAAATATTGCTGTCCTGGTAAGAGATTGAATGACTATTATAATTCGGGGTTACTGCACTCAGGCACATTTGCATAAAAACACTGTTGGTCAGTGGTAAATCTGTCTCTGGCAGCAGTTTGTCTTCAGAGAGAAGGGACTCCACGGCTTGCTAAATGTAATCAAATCCTGGTAATCATCACACTGGAAATTTGTTGGCCCAAGTTAAAATAATGGATAAGAATATGAAAACTGGTGTGATGCCAGAGGATCCTTGAAAACCTCCTGAGCTCAGTGGTCTGCGCCACACAAATACTTCAGTATCTTCTCAGAACACTGGATGTATTAAAACTACTGTTTCCCATTGTGCAGGAATTTAGGGTCACTTCCATGACCACTGTACACAAAGCTCAAGGTGCATTTAATGCCACAAAGCTCATGATTTCAAATGAACAGCTTTTTCTAGATTCTAGATTCCTGGTTACAAGAAATCACTAAGTCAAAAGCATTCTATGCATTCTGTTTTATTGTTATGCTACTTGAGAAGCTACCTGAAGTAACATACGCCTCAA